ACGCATCTGGAGAGCACCCGTTTGGGTGGGCTGCAGCAACCTCTGCCTTTGCACCAAACTTCACTGCACCAGCTCTCTTTTCTAAGAAGGGCAGGATGCTGCTACCAGGCCTGCTCAGCTGAAAGGCCCCTTGACAAAGCAAAAATGACAGACAGGTAGCTGTACTTTGGGCACATCATGAGAAAGCAGGACTCACTGGAAAAGACAATCATGCTGGGGAAAGTCAAGGCAGAAAGGATGACGAAGACGCACCATGAGATGGATCAGTTCCATGAGTTTACAAGAGCTGAGCAGGGCTGTCAAGGGTCAGAAATTTTGGAGGGCCACCATAATTTGGAGAAAACTTGATGACACCTAACAATGTAAACCAACAGGCTACTTTGCAAGGGGAGGTCCCACTGGTATCACTTTGTGCACCCCCACTTCAGACTTTCATAAGTCTTACATTTGTGTAACAAAGCAAAATATGCAGGAAGGACGCAGTCCAATTGCTTGCTCAGAAGTAAATTCATGCAAGCCTTTAGCACCTGTCAGTGTCCAATGGCTTTGTACATCGCCAAAACATGATATACTATTTTATAGCAACAAAATGTGTTGCCATTTATTGCATGTTTAATTTTAAACATATTAGGCTACCTGTGTTTAGTGTTTTGTCGCTGTGCATTGATATTTACTAACTCATCTTAGGAATCTCTCACCGCAAAATGACTGACTTCCAACAAAGAACTAGAACATCTTCAGTATTCCACCTGGATTCATCCAAAGGAAAAGGGTCAGGCCTCATGTCTCCATTGATTCCTGCACCTAAAGCTGCCCCAGTTATCTCCCCCAAAAATACACCCCTATTGAAAGAGCAAGTTGGTGGTTCAGATCTCTTTGCAAAGCTCTCCCTGAGCTTTGCCCATGTCTCCGCTCCTGCTCTGTGACCTTATTTTTGACAAGAGCAGAATGAATGTTGTATTTGCAGTTGCTATTGTGAATCGCCAAGCACAGTCCGGAGCTTTGGCAGCGATGCTGCATATTTATCAAGACCAAGAAGGGAAGCAGATTTGGAAACTAACTAGGCCCTCAGGAAGCCAGCACTTCAAAGGCAAGATCCAAACCAGGATGAAAGCAAAGAGGTGCAGCTAAGAGAGGTGCTTAGTCATCTGCCTCTATTAAGGCGCAATCAACATGAACACATGTCAGCTGAAAAGACACCCCAGTCAAAATGACCGAGTTAATAATACACATATTTGTAAATCGAGGGTGCAGAATTTCAGACAACTCCAGTTCTGTGGTAGTCTATATGCTTAGAGAAATATATCGGTCAGAATTGTGACCAAGTGGGGTTGTTGTCCAGTTTGCTGCCCAGGTGCTAACTCTGGAACCTCAGTGCCCCTGCTTTAATTTTATTTTTTTATGATTCATTATCTTATAGCCAGATTTGGACTGGATAACCCCTCAAACAGAAGAAGTGATCAAACGGAGCCAGTGTGACATAATAGTGAAAACGTTGCACTGGAACATGCAAGGTGTGGTTTCTAGTCCCCGCTCAGCCATGAAACTCACTGGGTCAGTTTAGGCCTGGCATGAACCCTCAGCCTAACCTACCTTGCAGGGGGTAAGATAGGACGGGGGTTATATAAGCCACCTTGGGCTCCATGCTGGAAAAAAGGCTAAATATAAATATAAATAAAGGACTGTCCTCTTGGACAATATCTCATTTTTGAATATTCTACTTAAAAAGCTCTTTGATAGGGTTAATTGGTGTATTAGGAGGAAGCTTGAGAATATTATTCTTGTGGCTGGTATGTGTGTTTGAGTGTGTGTGTACTTTCAAGGGTTCTTTTTAATATCAGGGAACATTTAGTGATGTCTTTCCAGGCTACTCCCCTGCCAAATGAAGAAGAAGAATTACGTAAGCTGTCCCGACATTCTTGAAATTAAAAAGGAGGGGTGTAAGTATAATAAATAAATGCAGTAAATAAAATTCTACCATGCCACTGTTGCCGCATGCACAGACCACAGACCGTAGCCATCCAGTGATGCGCAGCTATGAACATGTAAAACAGCCCTGCATGTTTGGTGGCTGTTTGTGGTCCAGGTGCTGAGGAGAACGGTACTTGCACAGGCCTAAAGGAATTACCAAGTGCTCAGCAATGGGTGTTGGCACAGGAAGGCTTGTTCCTTGTGTGCAGCTCGAAAAGGTTGCCCATCTCCTCTCCCAGTTTTGTGAACTGCTCAGAGAGCTTCAGCTGTTGGGCGGTATAGAAATTAAATATTATGTAAATACACAAATAAAATTTTGCAGGCAGACAGCCAAAACAGCTGCTTTTTCAAGACTACTGTTACTGGTTTTCTTCTGAGAATGAAGAAAAAAGGCAATTGTATTGCCTTTCCATAGTAAATACCAGAAATGTGCACACACAGTTTCCTGCCATCTTGGTGCATAGAGAACCCATGGCTTTTACCTTCAGATCTCTGGTAAACAATCTGTTTGTCAACTTTTTATTGGAGTTAATTGCCTAGATAAGAGACTACCTGGGGACAAAAATTCCGAAACAAATTCTATTCTTTATTTGCACTCTTGATTTCTCCGTTATGCCTCATGGACGGAGTACAATAAACCCTTTGCCCGAGGCAGCTAAACCACGATTGAGAAAACAGAATTCAAATAATATACCATTTTATCTAGGAAGAGGATAGCCACCAGGCCATTTCAAAAGCAGTTTTATAGAGAAGAGTGCCTGTTGGACTTCAGCACAGCATCTGTAGGAAAAGATGTCTTAGAGCCCCTATTCTTTGTCTATTGAAGCAAGCCCCAGCTCAGTGCTGTACACGCTGCACATGATCCATCATCCCGTCTCTGGCATCACCAGTTTGTCAGTCTTAGCAAACAGGTGATGTGAACTGCACCAGGAAGGGGTAGGCAGCAAGTGTGGGGTTGTGGATAAGAGAGCTGCACTGGGATTCCTGGGGTTCGGGTTCTAGTTCCCCCCACCAGCCATGCAACTCACTGGGTGACTTTCAAATGGTCATGAACTCTCAGCTTAACCTACCTTACAGAGTCGTTGTAGTGAAGATAAAATCATTTATTATTTGTTCAACACTTTTGCATGCTGTCTCATAGCCACATGGCTCTCCAGGTGGTTTACATAATTTTTAAAAAACGGAGAGAAGGAGAACCTTGTAAGCCGCCTTGGGTTCCATGGCAGAGAAAGGCAGAGCAGGAGCAGGAGTAGTAGTAAAAGAAGGTTTTGATGAAGGTCTGCGCATGTTGTGAGCGGAGCTGGCTAGAGCCGGGGGTCAGACTAGATGGCCCAAGAAGCCCCTTCTGAGTCACTTGGTTTCTATGTTCTAAGTAAAGTCCACATGTGTGATAACAGACATTACAAAGAATGCCGGGCCACATGAGCATGTATTATTTATTTATTAGATTTATAACCCACTTCTTTTTTTAAAGGAACTCAAAGCAGCTTATATCCTCTCAGTTCTACCCCCGCAACAACTACCCTGCGAGGTAGGTAGGCATCCTGAGTGTTATAACTTAAGCTGCTTTATGTTTTTCAAATGTTCACAGTTACTGGAATGAGACAGTGCATGTCCCAACTCTTTCTGTTGTTTTATGCTCTCTGTGCTTCTGCTGGTCTCCAAAGGTGTGAGGTGGATCACTTTGTCTTATTCTTTTAAAAAATCCTAGCCATTATGTTAAGGCTTAGAAATAACAGTGTAGCATAGGAGTTGGAGTGCTGGCTGAGATCCAGGCTATCCAGGTTCAAGTCCCCACTCTGTCACAAACCTCACTGGGTGACTTTGGGCCAGTCACAGACTCTCAGCCCAACCCACCTCACAAGGTGGTTGTTGTGAGGATAAAATAGAAACAGAAACTGAGTGAGTCGGAAGGACGCTCCTGGGCCATCTAGTCTGACCCCCGGCTCCAGCCAGCTCTGCTCATGACATGTGGAGGAGGACTGTGGAAGCTTCTAATGACTCCTCTGATGTCTTAGTGGAGGACTGTGGAAGCCGCCTTGAGTTCCTTGAAGGAAAAAGGCAGAACAAACGTATAATAAATAAATCACAATCTTAAAGCAGAGGCAGGCAACCTTTAGCCCTCAACCTGCAAGCAGCCCCAGCTGAATGTTAAAAGCCCCCTACTAGGGAGGAGTTCAAACGTGTGGCAATAGCAAGGCATTCCTCCCATAGCAGGGCACCAGCCAGGAAGGAAAATGGGGAGAGAGTCAGGGTTTCACAGAGAGAGAAGGGGTCACTACACCCACGTTTAGCTCTGGGCACTTTCTTGACAGGCCAAACACAAGTTTGTGCTTTATATATTTCCTTAATGTCTCCTAAAAACAATGTATCTAAGAATGCTTTGAGTTCTGCCTTGAACTCCATTAAAGGAAGGCAGAAATAAATAGATTTATGTCAGGTCTCCAAGTCCAGTTGCTCGGTTCGGATGTTTGCTTCAAAAGGTCTGCTGATATCAGCGCTGGTATCCTGGGGAATATTCCTGCACAACTACCTTTGCGCTGCACTATGCAGTGCAGAATTAATTCCCAGTGAAGCAGCTGCCATTTGTCTATTTCTGTGCCGGTCGTTTACCTGCCAAATGCCACCTTCTGTTCCCAGTAAGCAGTTCCTTGCCGCAGGAATAGAACCAAATAACTTCCCGTGCACAGCTCGTCCTGAGCTGCTGCTCTGTACTTTTCCACCCTGCCCTACTCATCCTCCGTCATGATTGCGTTCTTGGCAAGAAGAAAAAGGCACAGAGATGGCCGGAATGCACAAGGCAAGACTGCGTGCCAGGGCCGCTGGAGCTCCCTCTCTTCTCTTCTGCCTGCTTTCACCTCTACAGAAGATCTCTGTGTTTGAGTAGGCACTGACAGAGACGGGTGGGGACTTGCAGGTACGTTGTTCCTTGGTCATGAATTGCCTTAAAGGGCAATACCCGACTCTTTAACTTGGGACCAGAAACAGACAGGGTATCAAGGCAGACTCATATTGTCCAGTATTGCGGCCATATTCTCAAATAACGGAGGTTTTGGAACTGTTTCCAAAGGCAGCCCCACATACAACACATTGCAGTCGTCCCACTGGGGGTCTGCTTGGTGGTGTTAGGGTTTAAGCCCACCCAGTTAGATAGAGCCCTGTTGGACAATTCCTGGGTTATTAGCACCACGCAGCAATGAATGAATGTGCTGCCTCTCAGGCGCTCATGGCTGCTACTTTAAGCGAACACCATGAGATCTGAACCCAGAACTCTGGGTTGTTTAGGGGTTAAACAGCCCAGAGTTAACCCAACTACAGACCACAGCTGGCTGGTGAGATAGCCCCTGAACAGCCAAACAAGGAACAGGGATGACAGGGCATTCCTGGGCTGCTGATTGAAAGCAGAAGCAACAAGCTCTCTGTCCTGACAATTCTGTGGTTAAACAACCCAGGGATTGTCTTTATTTTTGAAGCAAGTCACAATTATTCTCGTGTTATTTTTCATTTTCTGACATTTTGTAAAGATCTTGCTCAAATGTTGGGGAAATGCTAGGAAACCAGTTGTGTCCTGCTGGCTGACACAGCTTCTGCTATCTGCTAGATTTCCTGACTTCTCCATAAGGCACCAATGTCCCTTTCACATGTCACAGAGCTGCAAACCCAGGTTTGCCATGCACGAATACCACCTACAAAACTGTACTAATCAGCAAGAGCTAGTGTAGTGAGGTGGTTTGAGTGTTGGACTAGAGTTCAGGTGATCCAGGTTCTAATCAACACTCAGCCATGAAACTCACAGGGTGACTTGGGCCAGTTCCAGACTCCCAGCCTAACCTACCTCTCAGGGTGGTGGTTGTTGTGAGGATAAAATGGGGAGGAGGGGAACCATGTAAGGCACCTTGGGTTCCTTGCAAGAGGAAGCAAGGAAACATATAAATGTGACAATAATAGCAAGCCAATTTCTCTGTCTTTTACAAGACAAGCATTCCCAGTTCTCTGACACACATGCCTGTCCAAAATCATGTTTAAAATATATGCTTTCTGTACTTTTGCCAGCAAATGGGCAGAGTCCCACTGCCACTTCTCCAGTGTAAAATGCAAGGGGATTTCATGCAAGAAAGAGCAGTAGGCAGTGGGTGCTTAATGCATCCCTGGCATGTTTCCCTCCCTGCAGCTCTGACGCAGCTTCCACTGCCTGAGCTGGCTTCCCAAATACACCCAGGACTCCATGAGTAAAAGCAGCTGGGCTGGTTACAGCGGGAAAGAGGTGGGCAGAGGAGTGGTTCAGCTCTCGCCACCCGCATTGGTTCCTCGCTGTAAATCACATGTATCCCACCATTTTGCCCCAGAGAATTGCAGACGGCCGTTTCTAGATCTGTGTTTGAAAAGTGTAGGTGAGCGTCTGAAAGTGTAATATAAAGTAGCCTTGAGAACTTCAGTTATGCTACTTCATATGGCTATTTGTGCAAGGCAAGGGTACAGCTAGGCCTCAGTGGGCAAAGTTCGTGACTAAGAGCAATGTTTGCTTTACATCAAAGCCTTCAGAGTGAAAATGCTGGAAGGCTCAATTAGTACACATGTGTGGAAAGAGAGCTTAAATTTAGAAAACCAGACTAGCAAGCAACTCACACCAATGAAAGTCTCCATTTCCCTCTCTGCTGTTCTTTTTTAATTTAAGATAATGCCAGCCATTTGATGCTGCTAGGAATTTGCTTTGTGGTAGTTCTAGTAAATAACCTTTGATTATGAACATGCAAGGAGCCATTCTTATAAAACATTCATTGTTATGACCAGTGACTCAGTGCTGTATCTCTCATTTGAATTTTGTTTCTGCTTTTTGCAGAATCATCTGCATTCATCTTTTATATAGTGCTCTGGGCCTCTGGAATCCTTATTCATCTGTCTTAATGGCCCTGTGCGTTATTAAAAATGCATTTTTGCAGACGAAGCATTACAACTGAAAGAACGCAAAGACCACAGAGAGACTATTTAGCTTAGATGGGAGCTGATTCCAACACTCCCAGGTTAGGGAGTGAGACTCTGCTTTAGAATCCCCACCCATTTTATCTGAAGATAAAGACAAAAGATGCAGTGGAACGCTTGGATGGAAATAAATTGTGCCTGACTACCGACCAGTGGTAAAGTGAATTATTTTAGATCCTGGATTTAATGCTGGTAGGAACATAAGAAAGGCCACGGTGAATCAGACCAAGGTCCATCTAGCCCAGCACTCCATACACGCAGTGGCAAACCAGTATGATCCGTCAAGCCGGACGGGTGCAAGACCTCCTGCCCAAGCTCCTCAGCAATGGGTGTAGGCAGGCAGGCCACCCCTGGTGAAGCAGGGAGCACGTGGCCCGCAAGGCTAGTAGCCACAGAGAGCATCCCCCCTCATGAATCTGTCCCATTCCCTTTTAAAGCCATCCAGATTGGCCGCCATCACCACTTCCCATAGCAGCGAATTCCACAGTTTAACTATGTGCTGTGAAGAATGACTTCCTTTTATTTGTCCAAAGCCTCCCCCGAGTCAGCTTCATGGGATGACGCAGGTTTGGGAGTTATGGGAGAGGAATAAAAATGTCTCCCTCACTACCTTCTCCACCCCATGCATTATTTCAAACACTTCTATCATATCTCCCCTTCCTTGCCTTTTCTCCAAGCCAAACGGCTCCAGTCCTTTTCGGGGAACTGCTCCACCCCCTGATCATTTTTTCCCCCTTCTCTCTGGGTGGGCACCTTCAGCCATAAATCACACGCTTTTTCTTCCACGCCCACTTCCCCAAATTCCATGTCTTACAATTTCTTGTTTCCGAGCAGAACAAAACAAACTGCCTTGAAAAAAACACACACACACGATATTAAAATCAAAGCACTGTCATGACGACTACAACCCTCTGGTCAGTTATTTAGTGCTCTCTGGGGCTGCAAAATCCAGGACGCCACCCCTGCAGTCCCGTTCTAGCCACGCCACTGCCACTGAAGGCTCAGGGCTGACATCTGGGTGATCACCAGAGAAGATTGTGGTGTGTGTGTGTGGAGGGGTGAAAACAGGGAAGATGTGCTGTGCTAACGGCCACCCACGCATGCTGCATTCGGTGGCTGGATTTGCACAACATGGCCAGCCTCGTTGGGTTGCTTCTGCATCTGCTTATTTCCTGTGTTGTTTAACCCTTTCTACGTCCCACTTGAAAAATGGAGCTTCACTGGTGACAGCTGTCAAAGGTAACTAACTGCTGCAGTTAAATGCAGTTTTGTGTACTCCTGCATGTTTCCAAGGTGACCAGCTCCCAGGAACTCTCGTGTGAAAGTGCGGACACCCTTGAGACGCTTGAGGGTCTTGCCACAAAGGGGGTGAACAAGCCACCTCCTGCGTTTGGCGAGCTAGGGTTCCCTTTGATGATTTTTACATGGAGCCAAAGGGAAAAGCCAAATTACCTGCCCTTCTGTGGGGCGGTGCCCAGTGTGGGGTACCCGCTGGACCTTATCAACAGTTATCCCTCAGTGCATTGGCTACCTGAGCCTCCCCATCACACACCTATGCAACTGTGAGCATCTGCACTTGCGGGCAAAATGTGATCTTAACATATGCAAATATTTTATGAACATTGAGAGGGACAAAATATTTTTAGGAAACGTTCAGTGACTCTAGGCAGCTCCTCCAAGGTGCTGCTTGGAGGAAGTCAAGTGTCCATAGCTATCAAAGAGGGGATCATAAGCCCGGCTTCATAGCCACACTCTGCAAGCTGAAGGGGGAAATTAACAAGGAAAAATGACAGAGCACGCCTGAAATGTCTCACAGTTGTGGCAGGGAGAGAAGGGGCAGCTTGATCCTCTTGTGGGGTCCCATGGGATACCTGTGGGAGCACTGAAAGGGGGGGGTCAACAGCTTAAGGTGACTATAAAGTGGGTTGTTCACATGATAACTCGCCCACTGTTCTTGTCAGGGTAGATTAGCTAGATGCACGAAGGCAGCCAGTGAAGCTTCTTGTCCCCCTCCTTTATGTTGTAAAATGTGTGCTTTGGTGGGCTGAAAGAATGGATGAAGAGGCAGTTCCACAAGCTATCCGGCTTCTTTGGGGGTCCTTCTCCTGACCTACACGGAAGTCCTGACAATCGCTCAGAGGCCCCAGTCAATGTGGTAAAAGACAGACAGCTCTGCTTAATCCTGGAGCATCTTCTAGCCCCTCGTAAGCTTTGATTTATAACCTGCTTCAAGAAGAGGGCATGTGCCATCTCGTCCCTATTCTGCCCATACTCACCTAACTTGCCAGTGCTCAAAGGGCCAAACAGGAACCATCCCTAACAGCTTGCCAGCCACACCCCAAAGCAGGCACAGTCCCACAGGTTCCAGTCACACTGTGCAAACCAAAGTCTGTCAGCACATGTGGTCAAGTTAGCATTTCGTGTTGTGCCTGTCAAGTCAGCAGATTTAAACTCCTACAATCCTTGCTTTGGAAAGGGTATTTCCTAAGCCCCTTTAATGCACATGAAAGAGAGAACAAATACCATCTAGTCTCATGCCGATTAAGATTAATATTTAATATGTCATTATTAAAATAGGTGTGCCTCAAATGAGTGCTGCATTAGGAACCTGGCAAAAGGTAAGATGCCTGCATCCTTCGGGGAGTCTCACATCCTTCCTTGCATAACGAGGGCCAGCCACTCTTGATGTACATGGAATAACCAGTGTATACTGTGGTTGTGCTTCCTTGCCCTTCTCGGACAAAATGGTGATTATTATTATTATTATTATTATTATTATTATTATTATTATTATTATTACATTTCTATGCCGCCCCTTGCTGAAGCCTCGGGGTGGCTTACAACACAATAAAATACATTGAAATACAATAGAACATAATAAATTACCATTAAATACAAAAATACAAAAAATACACTGAGTTACAAACATAATAATATAAAATTAAAATTATCAGTATAAAATAAGTAAATAAATAATATAGGAGGAGAAAAGAGAAGGAAGAAGAAGTTGCCCTGGCCAGATCATATGTTTTAACAATTAAAATGATGTTTAAATAAAAAGGTCTTTACCTGGCGCCGAAAAACCAGTAACGACGGTACCAGAGGGAGGGTGCTAGGCTCACCTTAAAATAGCAGTGTGGGGTAATCTACCTTGATAACTCCTCTCTCATGCAGCCCCCTGTCTAGCTTTAATACAGCCTTCCCCAACCTGGTACCCTGTGGAGGTTTTGGACACTACTTCTGGCATTCCTGGCCACTGGATGTGGTGACTAGGGCAGATGGGACTTGAAATCCAGCCTGGAGAAGAATGTGGAGGGTACCTCTAGGAGGGCATCTGAAGATCTTAATTGGTGGGCAGACTCATAAGGGAGAAGGTGACCAATGAAATGCCTTGGCTGCAACAATCTAGGACTTCAGGGGTCAAGACCATCACCCTGAACCAAGCCAAGGCAGAGAAGATCTTTCGTAGCATAGTAAGATGTCAATAATAGGTGATGACCTATAAAGCTCTTAACGGCTTGGGTCCTGGTTACCTGAAGGCGCGCTTACGTCCATATATGCCTGCCCGTCCCTTGAGATCTGCGGGAGAGACCCTTCTCCGGGAACCCTCCGTGAAGGAAATTAGGAGGGTGAGTACTCGGAGGAGGGCTTTCTCTGCGGTGGCGCCCAATCTATGGAATGCGCTCCCCAGAGAGGTCCGCCTGGCGCCGTCGTTATTTGTTTTTCGGCGCCAGGCAAAGACCTTTTTATTCAAACGTTATTTTAATTGTTAATATTATTTATTCATTTTATTCTTTGGCCAGGGCGACTTAATTTATATTGTTAATTTATATTATTCTATCTTTATTTATTTATTTAAAACATTTCTATGCCGCCCCCATCGCAACAAAGCCTCGGGGCGGCTCACAACACTATCTTGAAGTTTATTTATGGTTGTGAGCCACCCCGAGGCTTCAGCGAATGGGGCGGCATAGAAGTCTCCTAAATAAGTAAGTAAGTAAGTAAGGCTCTGGATCCTCAGCTCCCAATGTGAGACTGCTGGCAACTAAGAGCTGTTTTCTCCACTCCTGGCGGTGTTCCTTGATAGCTTTCTTCTAGCTGACAAGCAAACAGACACGCCTGTTAAGGTAACACTGATAGCATCAGCTAATCCATTCTCACAGTACTGGGCGTGCCGGCATCAAGTCTTGGCTGTTGGGTCTTTCTCTTTGAAGGACAGCTCGGAAATACTTCGCTATTTCTTAATAATGCTAAAACAGGCTTCAGGCCAACTTGGGACATAAATTCATGGAAATCAACAAGACTAAGAAACTGAGGATTTATGCTCATACAATTTTTGTACATGTATGCATCAGCTGAGGACACAGCAAGCAGCCACCTGAACGAAGCTAAGCTTTTTTAGGTAGAACGCAGACCTAAGAATAGAATTGCACCACTGTATGCAAGTATACACCAATTCAGACTTAGCTAGTGCACCAGTAATTCCGGTACGGCTGCTTTTAGGAGAGCAACCAGGTCTCTGGAAGCAGGAATAAGGAGGAGTCTATCAAGAGGCTGGTTTGCTTTGACTACAAATGTTTCCTGCAGCCAGCAATAAGGGGACTTCTCTGTCCATCCACCTGCAGCAACACAATATGGGGGAGAGGCATATTGTGGTCAGCTGCATGGCTTTCTTTTTAATAGCATTCCAGGGGAGTGCAATTAAAGGATTTTTCAAGGAAGCAGAGGAGTCACTGCTGCCTGAAAGAAGACATTGCTGAGGAGCAGGGAGGCTCTGTGACCCCAAAGTACCTTTGTGATGTGAAATGGCTAATGCTGCTGGTACAAGACAAAGAGGAATATGTGCTGAAGCAAGCCAGAACTGGATTTGGCATTCCCGCCCTTCATGATGTAAGTCCTGTATTTTTAAAAAATGTGTAATCTGAAACTGGCCAACAGTATACAAAACATAATTTCCAGCAGAATATGCACACTGTGAGATTATACATTCCTTTAAACTAGTTCTCAGTGGAAAAACACAATCATCGAAATACACCTGTCAGAAAGTTGTGATTGGCTGTGCCTCTTGTCCAATATACAATCTATATTTAAGATTGCAAATTTAGGGTTACATAGCCTGTGAGTGCCAACCCCACCACTGGACTATGGGCTGCTTCAGTACGACAATCAAGAGGAGGAACGAGGAATCTGGGTAGGCCTGCTGTAGCACTGAAGCATGTTGTACTGTTGTTTTCTAAGAAAGTAGCAATGCCCGCCTCACATCTATCACTGTGGATTATCTGTTCAGCTGTATGAAAAGCTTGCCCAGAAAATGAATGTGAAGGCCACAGCAGACAATTAATAAAGTGCAGCAGATACAAGCGAAGGTTTCTGTGGATTGAACTTTGCCACTGAACCACCTTCTGTTCACTGCAAACCACAGGGTGTCTGAACCTGCAGATCACAATCCTTTCATTAACAGGGAAGAATACAGGCATCTGAGCTTAAAGCTGCATCCTGAGGGAGGACTAGTTGCATTAACAAGTGTAAAATCCATAGAAACCTATAGAACCTTCTCCACTCTTCAGCCTCTAGTTCTGTATCTATCTAGGTTAAGTTGCCAGACAGCAAGAATCTCTATTTTCTCTTATTAGGAAGGAAATGCCTGAAGGAACGTCTCCTTCCTCACACCCCTTAAGACCTGCAGGAGAGGCCCTGCTCCAGGAACCCTCCTTGAAGGAGGTAAAGAGGACATCTGCTCTGAGTAGGGCCTTCTCTGTGGTGGTGCCCAGATTGTGGAATGCACTCCCCAGAGAGGTTTATCTGGCACTGAGCCTGTATTCTTTTTGGCGCCAGGTGAAAACCTTTTTATTTGAACATCATTTTAAGAAATAGGGATTTTAGAGTGAACAGTTGCTTTTTTATGTGCTTTACTCATGTTTAACTCTGACTGTATTTTATTCTATTGATTGTATTTATCATTACTAGTTATTGTCTATGGTACTGATTGTTTTTACTATTTGTTGAAGATTTTAACCTTGTAAGCAGTCCTGAAACACTGCCATGAAGGACAGGTTAGAGATGTTTTACTAAATTAAATAAATTATTAGGCCTAATATAAAGCAAGTCACTTTTCAGGTAACTTCATTGGTTAGTTAAAGTGTGCAAGAACCTGTAATCTACAGTTCTACAAGTTCTCTCAGTAGAGCTACTTTTCTCTAAGATTATCAGCATACTATTTATCTTGCTTAAGAAGGACCTGCCTGCATGTTCTGAGGCCCTTAGAAATTCAATTGCCTGCTGCTTTCTAGAATAAGGTAAGAGACAGCCTGGCGGAAGGTTCCACCTGACTGGCATTCGGTTCACAGAACAGTCAGCTTTACTCCTTAGGATGCCCAGAAGGAAGGACTCCTGCATGGTTTAACACCAAAGTAATGTTGGTATGTAAGCAGCTTGTCTTGTGGTGCTCCTGCCAACATTTCTTGGTCTACAGTATATCTATATTAAAAGGTACAGGATTCCCATCAGTTTTTTGTACCTGCTAACCTATGTAAGGCTGTGAAAGTTGGACCATAAGGAAGGCTGAGCACTGAAGAATTGAGGCCTTTGAATTGTGGTGCTGGAGGAGACTCCTCCAAGTCCCTTGGACTGCAAGGCGATCAAACTGGTCAGTCCTAGAGGAGATCAACCCTGACTGCTCTTTAGAAGGCCAGATCCTGAAGATGAAACTCAAATACTTTGGCCACTGAATGAGAAGGAAGGAGTCCCTGGAGAAAAGTCTAATGCTGAGAACAATAGATGGCAAAAGAAGAAGGGGACGGCAGAGGATGAGGTGGCCGGATGAAGTCACTGGGGCAGTTGGCATGAGCTTGAGTGGACTCCAGGGGATGGTAGAGGACAGGAAGGCCAGGAGGAGTGTTGTCCATGGGGTCGCAATGGGTTGGACAAGACTTCACGACTAATAACAACCTATGTGTATCTATATGTAACTACAATAAATGAGAGATGTAAGGAATACCTGTGCTGGGTATGCATTAAGACTTTGATTTTAGCTGTGCAGCAAGCAAAAAAATATATTGGATCATGTTCAAAATGCCGAGACCCACATCACTTCCCCTAAAGTGTACATATGAGCACCCCTACTATTTTATTTCCATGTCACTCATCAAACTTCTATGCCCAGATGTTTGGGCAACTCTCGTCAGGCTGACAGCATTACATTAAGATACCTGGGTCAGTTCATACATTTCATCGAAGAATTGCATGCATGGAACATCCCAGCCAAACCTTGTCGAATTTCAGTTAAGTCATAATACTGTTTAAGGAGCTGCAGCAATGAAAAATATTTGTGATTTCTCCATATACTGACAACAAAGACCAGCTCAGCTCAAAGCACAGCAGTTATTAATATGTATTTTCAACACCATCCTATGAGAGCCAAAATATCTCTGCTTGACTACACTAAGCAGTTTTACATCCCCCACCCACCAGCACTTTGGAAGTATTATTTCATGGTAAGCAGAATTTCCCCCATGGTTATCTTCACAATAATATCCAATTTAGTTTTAGTCTTGCTGTTCCAGCACACTTTGTTCTAGGAGACAAAATACCCAAACTGGTCTGTTTTTTTCTGCTCCACCTCATTACTGCCCTGCTTTTATGCTTTTGTCAGCTGCTGAGCTGGTTAAACTACACAGCAAAATAATCAGCAAGACTCCCCCTGTTATTCTTACTAATTATGAGACTCATTTCCCTGGTTTCTGAGAGAATGTAACTCTTGTCTCCAAAGCCAGAAGCAGAATGAGAAGCATTAGTAGACACTGGATCAGATGGTGATCCTAAATTTTTAAGCTGTTTGAGACTTAGTTTTACTGATAATTAAATTAATGCAAGATTTAGTTGCAGTTAATTGATGAAAACAAGGATCTTTTTTCTGACAGGAGTCATATTTCTCTTACAGCGTATCAGATCACTTGCCCAGTACTGCCCATGACAGAAATGCAGTGACAGAAAGCTTTACCTAATTAATTTTACCAAGCAGCAATCTAAGATGAAAACATTTTAACACTACTCCATGCCCTTCTTAAGAGAGTCAGCAGAGACTGTTTGGTACAGCTTGACCGGCAAGTTCACCAAAAAGATATTTGCCAGTAACTGCCATCATTTCAGCAGCTTAAAGTACAAATGCATAATCTTGCTTTACTACAGAGTTCTTAATATAAGTTGAACCCACATTTGACACCACTCCCACCCCACAAAAAGCTCACTTAAAAAAGGAGAAAGGAAATTATGCTTTAATTAACTTTTATTACCAAAAATTCAAAATAACCAGACCAAACTCACAGAAAGTGAAACATTTTTTAAAGATATTTAACAACTCCATGTGCTCTTGAAATGTTTCCCCCTCTCAATTGTACCATTTAGGTGGATACTTAAAAAACAGTGAACATGAAACAAAAATCCACCAACAAGCATGGGTATCAGAATACTAAGACAAATGTTATTTGCAACAAACTTGAAGTTGGCTGTGCTTCCCTTGGGAAAGTAGAGAAAAAGTTAATGCTTCCTCCCACACCCTCCACAGGAAAGCCCCTCCAGCAATGGCACTGACTGAATTGAGAAAACAAAAGAGCAAGTAGCAAGTGCTCCCACAGTCCAGTCCAGGGCAGTTTAGTCCACTTCTTCAATGGTGGGTCCACCGCCTGGAGCACCAGCACCTGCAGCTCCAGCCCCCTGGTATAATTTGGCAATGATGGGGTTGCAAAGCTTCTCCAGCTCCTTCTGCTTGTGCTCAAACTCGTCCTTCTCAGCCATCTGGTTGCGATCGAGCCAGCTGATCACCTCCTGGCACTTCTCAAGCACCCTCTGCTTGTCTTGCTCACTGATCTTGCCTTTCAGCTTGTCATCTTCCACGGTCTGTTTGATGTTATAGGCATAGGACTCCAAGGCATTCTTGGCGACCACTCGCTCCCGGTTGGATTCATCTTCTGCCTTGTAACGCTCGGCTTCCTGCACCATACGATCAATGTCATCCTTGCTGAGGCGGCCCTTGTCATTAGTAATTGTGATCTTGTTCTCTTTGCCTGTGCTCTTGTCTACAGCTGTGACATTGAGGATGCCATTTGCATCAATGTCAAAAGTGACCTCAATCTGGGGCACACCACGGGGTGCCGGTGGGATACCTGTCAGGTCAAACTTTCCCAACAGGTTATTGTCCTTGGTCATGGCCCGCTCTCCTTCATACACCTGCACCAGCACACTGCTCTGGTTGTCGGAATAAGTAGTAAAAGTCTGTGTCTGCTTGGTGGGAATAGTGGTGTTGCGTTTGATCAAGGCAGTCATCACACCGCCAGCTGTTTCAATGCCCAGCGACAGCGGTGCTACATCAAGCAGCAGCAGGTCCTGCACATTCTCTGACTTGTCACCCATCAGGATTGCAGCCTGCACAGCAGCACCATAGGCCACAGCTTCATCAGGATTGATGCTTTTGTTGAGTTCTTTGCCATTAAAGAAGTCCTGCAGCAGTTTCTGGATCTTGGGGATACGGGTGGAACCCCCAACCAGCACAATCTCATTGATTTGTCCTTTGTCTAGCTTTGCATCCCGCAGGGCCTTCTCCACTGGCTCCAGTGTGCCACGGAAGAGGTCAGCATTGAGTTCTTCAAAGCGGGCACGGGTGATAGACGTGTAGAAGTCAATCCCATCAAACAGGGAGTCAATCTCAATGGAGGCCTGGGTCGAGGAGCTCAGGGTACGTTTGGCACGCTCACAAGCAGTACGGAGTCGCCGAACAGCCCTCTTGTTGCCCGCGATGTCACGCTTATGCTTGCGCTTGAATTCCTCCACAAAGTGGCTCACCATGCGGTTATCAAAGTCCTCACCACCCAGGTGAGTGTCGCCAGCTGTAGATTTCACCTCAAAGATGCCATCTTCAATGGTCAAGATGGAGACATCAAAGGTGCCACCCCCTAGGTCAAAAATGAGCACATTCTTCTCCCCAGCTCCGCTGCCTTTTTTATCCAAGCCATAGGCAATGGCTGCAGCAGTGGGCTCATTAATAATGCGCAGTACATTGAGGCCCGTGATGGTGCCTGCATCCTTGGTGGCTTGGCGCTGCGAATCATTGAAGTAGGCAGGCACAGTGATGACAGCACTCTGGACTTTACGGCCCAGGTAAGCCTCAGCAATTTCTTTCATCTTGGTCAAGACCATGGAGGAAATCTCCTCAGGGAAGAAGGTCTTGTTCTCCCCCTTGTACTCCACCTGTACTTTGGGCTTCCCACCTTCACTCACCACACGGAAGGGCCAGTGCTTCATGTCGGACTGCACCGTGGAGTCATCAAACTTGCGACCAATGAGGCGCTTGGCGTCGAAGATGGTGTTGTTGGGGTTCATAGCCACCTGGTTCTTGGCTGCGTCCCCGATGAGGCGCTCCGTGTCCGTGAAGGCCACATAGCTGGGAGTGGTGCGGTTGCCTTGGTCGTTGGCGATGATCTCCACCTTCCCATGCTGGAAAACTCCGACGCAGGAGTACGTGGTGCCCAAGTCAATGCCTATCGCAGGCGCTTTCCCCGACATGGCTGCAGCAATGCGGTCAGGATACCTGTCAGAACGTCCGCTCGTGTCAAATAAGCTCCGCTTCACTTCAAGAGACGCTCCTCTCGAATCTGAGGCGTGATCTGCCGTTGCGTCGCTCTCCGCTGGCTTTTATATCAGCGGCGCGCTCCCTTCTGGAACCTGCCAGAACCTGGCCGACCAATCACGTCACTCCTTACGGCACTCTGACCAATCGCCTTGGAATGTGCACTCCCCTTCTCCCCGGCTCAGCCAGAAGCTTCCAGAGGAGGCGTGCTCAGTCTAGAAGGATTGATATCAGTAGCAACCAATAGGAATTCGGAAGGCAGAAACTGGGGCCGCTCCCGAGACGCCTTCTGGGCGGCCGTTATGCAAAACAGCTCGGCGAAACCGGCAGGGCTTTGCTGAACTTTGAGGCTCGAGCGCCTTCTACTTGCTTCTAACGGCGCCCGGAATAGTTAAAGTGCGCTTGCGCATGCGCGTCCGTGGGGGAATGGGATGGAGGGGAGGAGAAGGGAGGGGGAAAGTGGTTGACTAATAAGAGGTTTATTAACGTGAAGTAAAAGCACTCTTGGGGAAGCGGGCGAAGATACGGCAAGCAGAACTTTATTTGAAGCCCCCTTTAGCCGCAACATCGTGTTTTAAGGCCACGCTCAGCGCTGACCCGTACGCAAGTTATTGTTAAAGACTGCCTCTGAGGACGCACAGAGTGCGTTTTCCCTCACGGCTCAATAAACGTTATTTTCTGAGGGGTAGAAGGTCCAGTCTGTTCCAACGAAAATAGGAAAGAGTCCGACAATTCGGCTAGTGGGGAGCGATAGACGTGGAATAAATAACATCCTGGTTTCTTGAAAACCTCACGAATTCATTTTGGCGTAAGCTTTTGTGGAGACTCCAGTCCAATGGTTAAGATTTTACTTTGTTGAGCGTTAGCGATCAGTAGTTCCAGTCTTTAGGTGCCCTGTTAAATCTCTACAGATGATTTTAATAAAGAGTAAAACACCGAGAAATGGATTTCTATGAATCCAATATCTGGAGATGGTTTTTTCCATTTAAAAGTTTCAAAAATTATAGTGTGCGTTTAAAAAAAGCAAAATTACCCCCAATAGTGCATTCAGTTGTTAAATTTAAAAATTTAATTTTTTAAATATAATTTATAAAAATCAGATATTACCATGGAGCATTATAAAGATTGTGCAAATTGTGTGGAAAAATGGACAGATGCTTTACTTTCCCTCAGAATACTTGAGTATTTCTCACAGTGAATTAACATTTATGAAATTCTTTGCCACAAAATGTGGTGAATTATTTAAGATTATTTTTAAAATGGGGAGGGTGGTGCCTAAAAATGGCAATTAGCCAGAATAGGTGGGCAATACAATTCTGATTTCAGATATTTTAGTCTGAGGGTCCTTCCATTACTTTATGTAACTAAAAATTCATTATTGAATTAAAAATAATTTACATATTTTTAGAACAGAAACATTAAAGGGCTTTTAAAGATAGACTTTCGCAGTATTTATTAAAATGCAGTTCATTCGTGAGTCACTTCTGACTGCTTCTCTCTATATGGGATATCAGTGTTTTCCCCAAGTATACAACATTACTTCTGGGCAAACAAGACCTTAACACTGGCATCTCTTTCCAGTGTTTCACCTGAGCATGAACAGAGTGCAATTTTATGAACAGAAACCAACCACATTGTCCTGGAGTATGAGGGTGCTGTGGTTTTTAAGCATGGTGAGCATGCAAGGCATGAGATTTTGAAATTAGAGATATTTGCACATGTCCCCCCCACCCCTGTAATACATATAAAGACAGAAGATAGCAGCCAGTGGTGTGGTGGTGACAAGAGATGGGCTAGAACTTGGGAGATCCAGGTTCTAAGTCTACCCTGAACCATGGAGATATTGGGGTGACTTTGGGCCAGTCAAAGACTTTTAGCCCAACATACCTCACAGGGTTGTTGTTACAAAGTTAAGACTGAGAGGAGGAGGAGAACTATGTAAGCCACTCTGAGTTCCATGGAAGGAAAAAAGGCAAGATATAACTAATAATAATAAATAAAACAAGTTCCAAAATTAATGAAGAATTAATTACAGGACACACTGAAAGGACAGTTACTAGTGGGGCTGGCAGTGAAACATTTAACGTCATGGAGCAACATGCAAATATAGGGTGATGCAGGACTGGGAATCTGGGCAGAATAGACCCTATCGATTTAGGCGTAAAGGGTATTTGAGGCAATTAGAAAAAAGCGTGTCAAAGAAGGGGATGGGCTGTATGGCCATTGTAGGTAGATGAGATCCTAATATTATCAGAAGAAACATCTCTGAATTAGCAGAAGGGAATGAACAATGGGGAATTGAGGATGTGGTTGTCATGCATTGCTTCTAAGCTTCCTGGGCTATCTTGCTAGCTTGTTTCAGAAACTAGAAGCAAGGCAAATGGAGGCAGGGAAGAGGAATTGTGGGATCAAGATAAGATGGCAATTGGAGGTTAATTTGGAGATACAGATGCACACATTGCCTCATGCTAAGGATTTTGTGCTTTGCAATCCCAAAGAGGTATCCTAGATTCATACATTCATCCTATTTGAAAATAACGAGAAGTCACATATTTTTGAACTGTGGAACTCTCTGAGGAAGTATTCTTGTGAACATTTGCAAAAATCCTATTTGGCATATCAAGTTTTCTTTCTCAAAATTGCTTGTGGACAGCATGTTTTATGTTGTTTTTAATCACCTTATATACCATCAGTGAATCTGTGTTACAAATCTGAATGCTGACATTGTTTTATTGTTTTTATTATTTATTTCATATCTCTACTGTTCAATAGTGAAGCTCTCTGGATAGTTCACAGCAATACAACATGAAAACCGTCTTCCACATACAAGACTTGGGAAGAATGAGCAGGCTCAGGGATTGCAAAAGTACAACAAATCTGAGGGAAAAAATCTTAAGAGGAAGAGCTCAAAAAACCCAATAAGGACAGAGCATGTTGGTGATTACAGAATGCTTATCTGACAGGGGCGGCAGAAAACTGGGGTTGGGGGATGGAAAGGAGTATTCTAGAAAAGGGCATGACTGTTTGGCCGGCTGGAACTCTGAAGAGCAGCATTCCATACTGCAATAATTTGTTGCGGTTTCCAGTAGTACAGGTTATTGTATGAAATTGCTTGCACTTGCGTAATCATCCTCCAGGCATTCTCCTTTCCTTGCCCTCTCTCTCATGCAACTGCCTTGGTAAATGCACATGGGGGTGGTGGGGGGGGGGAGAGAGAGCAAGACTTGGCATGATATCTGCAGCAGTGAATTTGGAGATAAGTGTGCTAGAGTAGGAAGGATACAGGGAAGTAGAATCTGCAGAGTCAACAACTGGAAGGCAGGACAGGAATATGTGTTGGGCAAGGAATGAAAGGGATGACAAGATGGAAGGAATGACCAGATGGAACTCAAAGGAAAAGGGTAGCAACCAAAGAGGAAGACAAGACTGAAGAGGAAAGAGAGGAAAGTGATATCTTTATAAACTTCTGGTGTCTTATTTCTAGCCTACATGTTACTGTTTGTAATTCATACAAATTTAGTTAAATGTCACATACGCACTGAACAAACAGCTGGATAGGAATTTAACCTTTTTTGGTTGCAGTACAAGATTGTTCAGATCCCTTGCTGAGAAATCAAAAAAAGAAATCTGGTGTGTGTATGACTCCTGCTTGTTGTGACTGTGTGCATGTGAAGGAATTTACACTACTTCCCAAAAAGTTGTACAAGCAAAATCCAAGTCCAGACAGCATGGGATCTTGCTTTTCCTCTTTCAGCAATAGGACCTCCCCTGCCCCCAGGAATCAGGAACATAGTGATATACTGTATGCATGGTGTTGATATACAGTATACATTTTATGACTGCAGCCTCTGTGTGCAGTTTTACTTCACAAGAAGCTGGCACAGTTTCATTATAAAATGGCTTGTCTGTACACTTTTTTCTGGAGACAACAGTGTGCAAGAGAAGAGGACCAGGAGACAGAGAACAGGCTGGGTTTCAGGGATTTGGATAAAGGTTAACATAAAAATGGGGTTGAGGCTAGAAACGGAAAGATAATCATTTAGTTTGGAAGGTGTATCATACTGATCAACCCCACTATGTGAGCATTGGGAAAGTAAAAGCAAAGGTAGCATGGATTATTTTTCAATCTTACTTATTATTTATTCTATTTATATCACATCTCTTTTTCCTTTTAAGAAACCCAAGGTAGTTTACATAATTCTCCTCCTCTCAATCTTATCCTCTTAACAACAACCCTGTGAAGTAGGTTGGGCTGAGAGTCTGTAACTAGCCCAAAGTCATTCACTAAGCTCCATGGTTGAGTGAGGACTAGAATCCAGATGGCTGAGTCCCAGCCCCACATTATATTTATATCCTGCCTTTTAGAAAAATGGTTTACAAGAATATATAAGCTAAACAAAGTTGGGAATCTTGATGGTTCTTGTTGTTTAGTTGCAAAGTCGTGCCCAACTCTTCATGACCCCATGGACAACATTCCTCCAGGCTCTTCTGTCTTCCACCATCTCCCAGAGTCCACCCAGCCTCACACCCACCACCACAGTGACCCCATCCAGCCACCTGCAAATCTTGGCGCTAGGTAAGCATACTGTTAAATGTTTGCGATCAGTTTAAATTGCATTGCAGGAGCTCCTCACGTATCAGTGCCTCTGATTACACATGATCTCCCATCCTCAAAACTGGAATTCTTAAGCTGGTAAGCTTTTACTCTGCCAGGCCAAGGGGAAACTTCTCTGAAACATTTCATCACTCAAAAACAAGGATTATTGGTGGCAAGGTGATCCAGCTGATATATTTTATAGTAGACCATCGTAAGCCAGCAATCTCTTTGGAGAGATGTGGCATAGATTTCAGTGTATTTTTACACACTGGCCATTCTTGAAACTGCTCCAAATGTTTGTCTGTTGTTTTAATATGAAATACAACATGGAACTGTTTTGTTAAAGCATATGCCATGAAATGACTATTATACAGTTAAAGAAATGCTTCATCAGATCGTCCATATCAGCTTATAACAGCCAGAGGTAAATACTCTTATGTACTATGACAGA